TAATACAGATGTCGCTGGAGATCAGCGTAGTTTTTGGTGCTGGGGTGGAGCCAGGGCCTCCCTCGTTCATGGCAGGCAGGTGCTCTTCCCTGTGCTCCCCCGAGCTTGGCTGGGCTGGAAGTAACTGTGCCCGACAGCGACAGCGAGTGGAGCGCAAATGCAAAAACCACTCTTGGCTTTGAGGCTGCGTACAAAACGGCAGGGACGGACTTGCTGGGGTCTGGGGCTCCTATGTGCTGTGTTAGCTGTGTGAATATTTCCTTGGTTCACAGCTCTCCTCACACTGTTCTTTTTAGTTTTTGGTCTCTTTCAGACAGGGTCTCACTATGCAGTTCAGGCTGGCTTTGAGCTCACTTTACAGCCCAGGCTGGTCTCAAGCTTGCAAGGATCCTCCTGCCTCAGCCTCCTGAATGCTGGGATTACAGGCGTGAGCCACTACACCGGGCTTGTAAGTCATATTCCTTTTTTGTTTGTTTGTTTCTTTTTCCTTTTCTTTTTCTTTCTTTCTTTCTTTCTTTTCTTTTCTTTTTCTTTTTTTCTTTTTTTTTTTTTTTTTTTTTTTTTTTTTTTTTTTTTTTTTGTACCAGGGATTGAACTCAGGACCTTGCACTTGCCAGGTGGATGCTTTATTGTGAGCTAAATCCTTAGCCCCTCAAGCCAAATTCTTGAAAAGAATTTTTTAAAAAAGTTCTGAATAAAAATTTAGTTCACTTTTAAAAAACTCAAATGCTTTTCTCCGAACACATTATTATTGTCATTTGAAAGTCTTCATGTGTTGCCCAGTCTGGTTTAAATTTCTGAATTCAGACCCAGGGTCATAGATCAGCAGCACAGCACCTGCCTGCCAAGCACAAGGTTGTGAGTACAACCACTGGTGAAAAAAAAATTTTTTTCTGAGCTCAAAAGAGCCGCCTGGGGCTGGGGGTTTAGCTCAGCAGCATAAGCACCTGCCTTGCAAGTGCTTGGTCATGAGTTCGATCCCCGGTAACCATAAAAAAAAAAAAAAAAAGAGCCACCTGCCTCAGCCTCCTGAGTGCTGGGATTAAAGGCACACAGCACAACACCTGGATCTCACTGTTGTCTGCAGTGTTGGGACTTGAACCCAGAGCTTCACACATACTAAGCAAGCACTCTACTATGGAGCTACAGCCTTAGCCTGTTATATTATCTTATAGAAAGAAATGGAGGCTGGGCATGGTGGTGCATTCTGTAATCAGTACTCAGACCAAAGGACTGAGAGTCTGAAGCCAGTCTGGGCTACATAGTGAGACCCTGTCTCAAGAAAACCCTGGATAAATGAAACAGAAAGATGATAACTTCAGAGAAGTCACTACAGTTTTAGCTTAAGTAGTAGAGGCTGGAATTAATCTTTTTTTTTTTTTTTTAAAGCAGGATCTTGCTGTGTAATTAGATTGGCCTTGAATTAACCACATAGTGCAGGCTGGCCTCAAACTCACAGTGATCCTCCTACCTCAGCCTCCTGAGTGCTGGGTTTATAGGAGTGCGTCACCACGCCTTACATTCTCGGCCCCACCACCTCCCTTCTGGCTCTGCTTCCTGACCGCCATGATGTGAGCAGTGTCCTCCGCCAGGCCCTTCCACTCCTGCTGCTTCTGCTTGGAGCGGGTTGCCATGGACTGGGCACACTGAAACCGTGAGTCAGGTTGGACTTCTCCCTTCTAAGCTGCGGGTATCAATATTAGTCCCAGCGACTGGAACATGATTAAGAAGTCACCTTCACATCCACGGCGGGTGGCACCACCCTGGCTGCGGGAGGAAGATGGGACCCCTCCAGGTGAGCAGTCACCCCTGCCCTGCCCAGTGGAACCCACACCACTGCTGATGCGCCCTCAAAACCACAAGGGTGGGCTGAAAGCAGATGAGCTTCAGCGTGGTGGCGCACATCTGTCACCCCTGCACCCCGGAGGGCAGGAGGGTTGCTGAGCTCAAGGCCGGCCTGGGTTGCATGCCCTGAGTTATAGAACAAGACTGTCTCCAAAAGCAAAAAGCCAAAAAAAGATGGACTTCAAACAAAACTGTTTAGGCAGATCCTTTATTTGGGTATTTTGGTAGCTAGAATCCTTGATAAGTAAACATATGGGTTTTTTGTTTGTTTTTTGGATCTTTTTGGGACTGGGGTTTGAACTCACAACCTTGCACTTGCCAGGCAGGCGCTTAAGCCACTGAGCTAAACTGCCAGCCCATCTGTTGTTTTTTAACTGTTTCTCCTACCTTTCCACGAGTTTTTCTCCCTTGGTACCAAGGATCAAATCCCAGAGTGCTCTATCCCTGAGCTACACCCCAGCCCTTTTTATTTTTTATTTCAAGACAGAGTTTTACTGTGTGGCCCAGCCTGGCCTCGAATTGAAAATCCTCCTTTCTCAGCTTCCTGTGTACCTGTGGTTACAGGTATGTGCCACCAGGCCCCCTTCCATGAGATTTTGAGGTTTACAAAATAAATCTGTATTTTTAGTCTGCTACTTTGATTTTGTTCGTTGTTTTTTTTTTTTTTTTTTTTTTTTGAGACAGGATCTTGCTGTGTAGCTCAGACTGGATTTGAACTCACTATGTAGCCCAGGATTCTGTGGAACTCTCAGAAATCCTCCTGCCTCAGCCTCCCTGGTTCTGGGAGTAAGGCATGCACCATTGTGCCCAGTTGTCTGCTACTTTGAAGTTCAAAAAGAGTCTGTTTCTCTAACTTAATTTTATTGAAGCTTTAAAAAATTATAAAATAATACTACCATGCTACTAAAAATTCAGGCAATAAAAATATAGGCTACAAAAAAGAAAGTATAAAAAATACATTCTGACATTTCCACTTCCAAAGAAAAAGACTCTTAACAATATTGGGTATTTTTTTTCACATTTTCATCTCCCAAATTATATGTAGTGCATATAAATACACTTTTAAAATGAGACCACAATGTGCAAAGCTAATGTCACTCATACTTTTGCTTAATCTTTCTTTTTATTTCTTTCTTCCTTATTTACTTATTTTGGTGGTACTGAGGATCGAATCTATGTCCTTCACATGGAGCTACATGGACCTTTTAAAACTTTTGTAGATTTTGAGACAGAGTCTTACTATGTTGCCCAGAGCTGGCTTGAACTTGCGACCCTCCTGTTTCAGCCTCCCTGGGAGCCAGACCGCAGGGCTGAGACACTGGTCCCACTTTGTTTCACATTTTTCCTGTTCAGCACACACAGACGCACTTTTTTCTTCTTTCTTTCTTTACTTTTGAGCTGGAGATTGAAGCAAGGACCTGAAACACACCTTTCCCTTTGAAAAATTCCATACTATTTCATCAGACATGAGCCTTAATCAACTGGGCGTCTGCTAATGACTATTTATATTTTTTCCAGTTTTTCATCATTGGGCATAATCCTGCCTTCAATGCTCCTGTACATTTATCTCTGTTTACCTAGGTGACAACTCTGTACAATAAATTGCTAACCATGGAGTTTCTCATCATCAGAGCACATCACTTAAACTCTGATGAATACTGCCAAGCTCACAGCTTTCCAAAACTGTGCGTGAGTATCAGTGGTGGACAGGAACTGCTTTTCTCACATTGGTAGTAGCTGTCTTTAAGGTTATTTCTTTATTTAGTGCTTGCACTAGGCAAGTACGCTACACTGAGCTATGTGCTCAGCTCTTTTTAAAAGTTTTTAATTTTGGGGTGAGTTCTCCCTAAATTGCTTAGAATGGGCTCAAACCTGCAATTCTCATGCCTCAGCCTTCTGAGTAGCTGAGGTTGTGCACCCTACTCTGACTGGCTTTTACTTACTTTTTCCAGGAAAATATCTTGACTATTAGCTCCATCCAACGGCAGCTCTGAGTTGCTGGCTGCCTTTTCTGCATGGTATGATCTATTGATTTTTTTTTTGTCTTTTTCATTTTTATCGGTACCAGGGATCGAACTCACAACTGCCTGCTTGCAAGGCAGGCGCTTATGCCGCTGAGCTAAATCCCCAGACCCTGCATGGTATGATCTAAATTGGGGGGCAGTAGTCAGCACTTCGCCACAGTGGGGTGCAGGAAGCCCAGGCCAGGTCTTGGGGCAGGAGCGTGACAACAGCCAACCTCAGGGATGCAGGAGGTGACAGCGGTGGGCTCTTTACAGAGGGTCTTGTGGTGGCTCAGAGGCAGGGAGGTCCAGTGTCCAGGGTGCCCACGAGCCTGCACTACCTCACAGAAGCTGGCAGCGGCAGCCAGCGCTGCTCAGCTGGTTCCTTCTCCAGTTGCTTGAACAGCTTAACAGTGGCTTTTAAATCTGTCTTTCTATTGCATTTTTTTTTCTTACTGACTTGTGAAAATTCTTTGTATATTATTCTTTCTATCTTCAAGAACCCAGGGTCTTGGTAGCCTTAAATTTTTTTTTTTAAGTTTTTAAAAAAATTGCCAGGAGTGGTAGCACACATAGTGTAATTCCAACACTTGGGAGGCTGAGGCAGGAGGATCACCAAAAGTTCAGAACTAACCTGGGCTACATAGTGAATTCAAGGTCATCCTGGACTACATGAGGAGTCGGTGTCTCAAAAATAAAAAAAGAAAATTAGATTTACAGTCAGTTCCAATGGCACATGCTTGTAATCCTAGCACTCAAGGAAGCTGAGGCAGAAAGACTGTCGGCCTTGAAGAATACTGTACCAAGGAGGTGACCTTTGTGTGGGCCACCTATTGATTAGCACACGCTCAGCGGGACACTCCTGTTATCCTACAGTAATTTAGAGGTAGGTGGATTTACAGCCCCAATTTTCCGTCTGGAAGCCGAGCCACAGTGCAGGTAAGCAGCGGAGTAATCATTATCCCGCTCGCCTTCCCGTTTTTAGGCTGAATCCCGCGTCCTAGAGCCTGCTGTCTCTTTTCTGGGTCCTGGAAGTTGCGAGGGGAGAAGACCTTGGGTTTCTTGACGCCTTGGCACCCTGCAGCCAGCCACAGGGACCCGGAGTTAGAGAAAAGCCAGGAAGCCCTGACCCCGGAACTAGTCGGCCTTAGCGTCCACGGTTGCCAGGGCAGCGCCCCGGAAGTAGAGCGCCAGTGACGGGCCAGTCGGCCAGGCTGTGGGCGGTGTCTTCCCGCGAGCATCTTGAGTGGGGCTGGAGGCGGGCCTGGGACGCGGTGCGGAGCTGCCTTCCACGGAGGCCACAGGTGAGGCCCAGTCACCGCGGTCGCCGTCTCCTGGGCGCCGAGGGTGTGGCCGCGCATACCTGCGCGCGTTCGCGTGCGCATGCGCGAGCCGGTGTGTGCTGCTGGTCTAAGCTGTTGCCTCCGGTGCAGTTTACATGCTGCTCTCCGGATCCGCGTTCTCCGCGGCCACTGTTATCTGTTTCCTCTGGGATTCTGCTCGCGTCGTCCGATTATTGTAATTGCATGATTAGTTACCCCTGGCTTCGTTCCTAGACTTTCACAACCCTCCGCAGCCCGTGCTGTTTCTGTTGGCTTTTTCTGCAGGGAACGCTGTACCGGTAGGGAGGACTCCGGTAGGAGAGCGGAGCCGTGGATTCCCTCCCTGTTCATTTTTCTCTGGGTGACTGGACCAGGGGCGGGCTGGATTTGTCATGCACTGCCCAGGAGCCAGATCAGCAGGGACAAATCCTAAAGCCAAAGTTTCTGGGCATTGTGAGACGGTTTGCAGTTTGCAAAGCAGGTTCTTTGTTCAGGAAACACTTGGTGGGTGCATCATGAGGCTGGCTTGAGGTGCCTGCTCAGTACCCCAGGAATGACAGACGCGGGCAAACAGTCACTGTGCGGCAGGGCGCTGTCTTGCAGAGAGGGTGTGAGAGGGACAGGGATAGTAGGGCTGTGAGTGAACGGGCTTCACCCTTGGGGAGCCTCCAGGCACACTGTTATTTACTGTTTTCCTAAAGATCGCTGGGTTTGTCCTTTTTAGAGAAAGCTAGTTGGGAACAATCCAGAGGTCAGGGAATCCTGGCCTAGTTGGGACTTCATTGAGAGTGACAGTGATCAGTGATAGCGGTGGTGCACGGCTGTGAACCCAGCACTGTGGGAGGCTGAGGCAGGAGGATGGCAAGTTCATACCCAGCCTGGGCAACTTAGCAAACTGGGGTGTGTGTTGGCTTTGTTTTGTTGTGTTGTGTCGTGAGACAGGGTCTCGCTGTGTAGTTCAGGCTGGTCTTGAGACTCATGGGGGTCCTCCTGCCCAGCCTCTGGAGGACTGGAAATTACAGGTGTGGCCATCACTCCCAGCTAGGGCTCCTATTTTCTTAGGCCAGACCCAGGGGAGGGTGGGTCTCAGGAGTGTGCATCCTCTTTTCCTTCTTGCTGTCTCTGGGAAGTCACCATCTTGGCTGGGGACGGTGATTCCTGCAGGACATGACTGTCCTCCTTTTTATCCTGGAGGCCTGGACCTTGCCCACTCATTGGTTATCACAGTTGTACTTGTTGGCTCCTATGCAGGGAGAATTCACTTATTTATTTTTAAAAAGTCATCAAATATTTATCAAGCACCTGCCGCTGCTGCCAGCCGTAGCTCTGGGTTCTGGGATTCAGCTGGAGGGAGGACAGAGCCAAGTCCCTTTTCTCATGGAGCCCGTGTGTCTAGCATGAGGACACGGAGCCAGGTCAGGTCTCTTCCGCTTCAGTTTTGTTTTGAGACAGGGTCTTGCTGTGTAGCTCAGGCTGGCCTTTAGCTCACTATGTAGCCTGGGCTGCCTTCTAATACTCAGCAATCCTCCTGCCTCCACTCACCCTCCTGGGTGCTGGATTACAGACATGCTTCGTCCTCTCTTATAAGGTCAGCAGTGCATTATGGGACCTCACCCTCCTGACATCACCTAATCCTCATCCCCTCGCAAACATGCCACCTCCAGATGCCATCAATGTGTGGATTTGGGGATGAGAGCTTTTGGGGGCCACACTGAACCATCGTAGAGCCCCGCACTCCCCCTGGAAAGCAGCGTCATGTGGGGCTGGAGCCCGGGAATGTGGTCAATCAGAATCATTTGTCTCAGCCAGGATGGGTGCAGAGACAGTGCACTGCCTGGCATGGGTGAGCGAGGCCCTGGGTGTCACCCCAGTGCTGGTGGGGAGACCCATGTTGCAGCAAAGGAAGATGAGAAAATGGTCCCCGTGCAGCCTGTCACAGAAGATGCTGCCCCTCAGCATCCTGGCCACGTCTGTGGCACTGTCAGGTCCCTCAGGGCCTGTGCCGCTCATCCCTGTTCCTTCTGTGTCAGGCGAGACCCCGAGCTGGCGTCGGTGAAATCGAAGGCGACGTGGGCGGCCTGGTGCTCAGGAGGACCTATGGTGAGTGTGGCCTGGGCGCTCTGCCAGTGACTGTGCTGTGGGGCGGTGGGGACTCAGGGAGGGCACCCCACATTTGACAGAGAGACTGCTCTTCTCGGGCTCCCCTTCCCACTGGGCAAACTGAGGATGAGGCTATTTGTCCCACAATGATCAGGACCGTACCAGGGACTTTCCTTTGGCTGGGACAAAATACCCCACAGCCACAGTGTAGGAGAGGAGGTTTAATTGGCTCACGGTTTCAGAGAACCCAGTCCATGGTGGCTGCTCCCAGACAGGAGCAGCAGGCGGAGGAGTCAGGGGGAGCAGAGCAGCTCTATTCGTGACAGCAAGAAACAGAACAGTGACAGAAAGAGACGCCCTCTGGTGGCTGCTCCTGGGACCAGCACCGCCAGCTGGGGGTGAACCCACTGTACCTGGTGACCCAGTCACCCCCTAGGAGTCTCAAGCTTGTGGCAATCCTCCTGCCTCGGCCTCCTAGGTGCTGGGATTACGGGCAGTCACCGCCATGCCCAGCTTCCAGGACTCTCCTAATCCAAATGGAATTTTAAGCCCCTGGGGTGCCGTCTCATCCAACTGTGCTGCCCTTACCTGGGGTCACTGCTCTGCCTCCCGCTGCTGCCCTAGGGTGAGACAGTGGCCAGCATAGGTCCCCCCATGAGTTAGTGCGAGGTTTGCCCTGCAGTGATCACATGGGTGTCACCCGGCAGGGGTAGGGGTTTCCCTGCAATCCTGGCTTTGCGGTTGGTCTGGGGTGGAGGTGGGGGGACAAGGGCTGTGGTCCAGGGCTGTGAGGCTAGTAAAATTAAATGGCAAAAATGTAAAGTCCCAGGTGGGTGTGGTGGCGCACCCTTGCAATCTCAGGCCTCTGGGAGGCTGCAGCAGGAGGGTTATGAGTTTGAGCACAATTTGGGGAACTTTGAGAACCTGTCTCAAAACTTAATTACCAAAATGGTTTGGCAAGGTGGCCCAGTGTGAGGCCCCAGCTTTATTCCCAGAACTGGCAAAAACACACACACACAAAGCACACTGCCCCACAGGCCTGAGGCGCAGAGAGCTTGCTTGGGTGTAGGATGTGAACCCATACCTGCTGGTGGCTGCTGGTGTAGTGATGACACTGTTCCCCATGAGATCGACTTGGATTATCCCTTCTGTTGACCCTGTGAGTGGACATCACTATCCTGCTCACGGCCACCTTCACAGAGGGAGGTGACAGGCTGAGGGGAGAGGGTGGCCCCTCACAGCAGGGTGGCTCTGGGTCCAGTGGGCTGCCGTGACTCTCACATGGGCTGTCGGCCACCGACCTCAGCCTCCCGGTCCGTGGAAGGAGAAGGTGCGGCCTGGCAGTAAGGGATGTCACCTCCCCTCCCCTTCCCTGGGATTGAACAAGAGCTGCTGCCCAGAGCTATACTCCAACCCTTTTGATTTTGAGACAGGGGCTCACTAGGTCATTAAATGCCCAGGTTGAGCTTAAACCTGCAATCCTCCTGCCTCAGCCTTCTGGATGCTGGGGTCACAGGCGTGGCCACCATGCCCGGCTCTGCAGGTATTGAGGAGGCCGCAGGTCTGAGAGCCTCGCGACTGTGTCTCGCAGGGTCATGGCGGGGAAGGTGAAGTGGGTGACCGACATCGAGAAGTCAGTGCTGATCAATAATTTCGAGAAGCGAGGATGGGTCCAAGTGACAGAGAGCGAGGACTGGAATTTTTACTGGTGAGTGCAGGAGCCTGATCTTGTGCTTGGGCAGAGCTTCCTGGTGAGCACTGCTGTCTGCTGTGTCCCTGGGGACGAGCCTGGCCGCCCTGGCTGTCGTGCTGATCTGGGGCACGTGCATGGTGTGCGCATGCGCGGTGGCCCCCCTAACTGGATGATTGACAGCCAGGATGGACTCAGTCCAGCCGTGGAAGAGCAGCTTGGGCACCCTTGTGACCTTTGTCTTTTTCCTTTTTTTTTTTATTGGTACTGGGGATCAAACTCACGACTGCCTGCTTGCAAGGCAGGCGCTTATGCCGCTGAACTAAACCTCCAGCCCCGTGACTTTTGTCTTAAGGCGTCCCCGGCCTGGCGTCCCAGTCCCCATCCCCCGCATTTAGTGCAGTCGTGGCGATGAAGCTCGGTTCTGCGATGATCCCGTTGTGTTCCGGTGGGGCTCGGCGGCGTATGAACGCAGCTGGCTCCTGGCTGTCTGGGAAGCGGGTTGGAAGTGAAGGGTATTTTCCCGTCAGACATCGTGGAAAGATCCTTCCATAGCACCCCTTAACTAACCTTTCCATAGTAAAAAAGGGGGGGCATCATTATGCACATAGCGTGCATCATCAATGTGCAGTCATTTTCCGAGGTTGGTCACCAAAAAGTTCCCAAATGTGCCAAGTTTACCAGAACAGCAGTGTCACACCGCACTCCCCTTCCAGGGGGCATGGTGGGCTCACAGGCAGGGAGGGAGGCAGGGCAAGGGGGAAGGAGGGGCCCCTTCCAGAGGAACTGGGGGGGGGGGCTCCCGGGGTCCACCCCCTACCACCCCCACCCCGCTGGCACCCGCTGCTGCCTCGCTGGGTCTCAGCCCTTTCGGAACTACACACTGGCCTAAGCCTGGCTGCTGTTCCTGGCTTTTCTTTAACGTTGTTCTTTTCTACCACGATGGTTTTTTTTACATTCCCTTCTAGCTTTGTGGGACCATTGATAGCAGAAATCATAACAATTATATAAAGCGCTGATCGAGATTACACCCACAGGGCTGGGGATTTAGCTCAGCGGCATAAGCGCCTGCCTTGCAAGCAGGCAGTCGTGACTTCGATCCCTGGTACCCGTAAAAAGGAAAAAGAAAAAAAAAAAAAAATTACACCCTCAGACACGGCATCTAGGCTCAGCCTGACGCTTATGGAGCTTAGGCTCGCTTTTATGTCAGGTTTGTCGACTGTATCAGTGATCACTGGGACCCAAGTCATTGAAGCATGACAGCGTCAGGACAGACTGCAGGCCACTGCGGTCCTCAGTCCCCACAGCCCCACAGCCTGTCTCACTGTGGCTGGCAGCCCCTGGCTCCTCTGGGGGTGCGAGGGTGCCAGGCCGGGCCCTGTAGGGTGCTGGACTCAGGTGCAGCCGGGCTTCCATTTCAGGATGAGTGTGCAGACCATCCGGAATGTGTTCAGTGTGGAAACTGGGTACCGGCTCTCAGACGATCAAATAGTCAATCATTTCCCCAACCACTACGAGCTCACCCGGAAGGACCTGATGGTAAAGAACATAAAGAGATACCGGAAGGAGCTGGAGAAGGAGGGGAGCCCCCTGGCCGAAAAGGACGAGAATGGAAAATACCTCTATCTGGGTCTGTGCCTTCGCCAGCCACGGTCTGGGCTGGGGCCATGGGTGGTCGCTGGCTCTTCAGGGGTCGGGTCAGTGGTGGCTGGAGTCCCCAGCTGCTGAGTAGGCAGGGGCTGAATTATATCAGCAGCCTCTCCGGCCTCAGTTTCTTCTTCTGCTAGGTGGGAGTGATAGCTCACAGCTTGCAGGGGGCAAAGAATGCATTCCCTGAGTTTTGCACATAGAGCGTGACAGAGCTTGTCACTTGTCAGCGTGTGCGAGACTCTAGCAGCACAAGTCCTTGTCACATTCAATGCTGAATTGAAGCTGAGGGGCTGGGCGTGGTGGTACACGCCTGTAATCCCAGCACTTGGGAGGCTGAGACGGGATAGCCATAAAGTTTGCAGCCAGCTTAGGCTATATAGTGAGACCCTGTGTCCAAAGAAAAATAAGGAGGGGCCAACGGGATGACACCAGAACCTAACGGGTAGTGGCGGTCGCAGCCTCCTGTCCTTGACTTCTGCTGGGCTTGCTCCTGGCCAGCACGGTGTGTCTCTGACCTCTCAGACTTTGTGCCGGTCACCTACATGCTGCCCGCTGACTACAACCTGTTTGTGGAGGAGTTCCGGAAGAACCCGTCCAGCACCTGGATCATGAAGCCGTGCGGCAAAGCCCAGGGCAAGGGCATCTTCCTCATCAACAGGCTCTCGCAGATCAAGAAGTGGTCCCGAGACAGCAAGACGTCCTCGTAAGTGCGGGGCTGCTGCAGGTGTGCGCTGGTGGTTCCCACCATCCCGGGAGGGCTCTGCAGACGTGGTTGCCCCTGGGGCCTGGGGGGGCACCCGAGCCACCAGGGGTCACAGGCACAGTGGTCGGGCGGCGAGGCCCATGCTGCCTGGGACCCAGGGCCCTGGGCTCCTGGCTGCAAATCCCAGCCCGACTCCCACTGCTTGAACCCTGTTTTCTGTTTTTAGCCCTTTGTGAGCTACATCCCCAGCCCCTTTTTTAAAGAAACTCTTAAAATTTGAGACCGGGTTTGGCTAAGCTGCTGTGCTATCCAGGCTGGGTTTGAACATTTGACCCTCCTGCCTCAGCCTCCCGAGGGCTGGGATTACAGGTGTGAGCCGCCACACCCGGCAGGGTAGTACTTTTGATATCGTGCCTTCTACCATCTAATCGCGACTGTGTGTGTGTGCAGGTTTGTGTCTCAGTCGACGAAAGAAGCCTACGTGATCTCGCTGTATATCAACAACCCGCTGCTCATCGGCGGCAGGAAGTTTGACCTGCGCCTCTACGTCCTGGTGTCCACCTACCGCCCGCTACGCTGCTACATGTGAGCGATCAGCTGGCAGGTCTCTTCTGGGGAGCTCCCAGGCGCCCCCGTGAGGCCTCATGATGTAATGCACCCACTCAGGCTCGGGTCAGGGCCTGGGGTGGACCCAGAGCCAGTGTCAGTCTGCCAAATAAGAGCGCAGCCTGGTGAGCGGGGGTTTTGGCTCCATGGCTCAGCAGCACAGCGCCTGCCTGGCAAGCGCAAGGTCGGGAGTTAGATCCGGTATCAAAGAAAAAAAAAAAAGGATGCATTGATTTCTAGAGCGGGAAGTGGTCTGGTTTCTTCCGAATCTTCTGAGCCTGACTGCCCCTCCGCCTAGGTATAAGCTTGGGTTCTGCCGGTTCTGCACCGTGAAGTACACGCCCAGCACCAGTGAGCTGGACAACATGTTCGTTCATCTCACCAACGTGGCCATCCAGAAGCATGGGGTGAGCATCGTCACTCGAGTGGGGACAAGTGGATGGCGCTGTGGGTTTCCTTTCTGTTCTTTTCAAGAAAGCACAGGGCAGCCGGGTGTGGTGTCTCACACCTGTAATCCCAGCACCCAGGAGGCTGAGGCAGGAGGTTTGCTTCAAGTTTGAGGCCAGTCTGGGCTCAAGAAAGAAAGAAAGGAAGGAAGGAAGGAAGGAAGGAGGGAGGAAGGAAGAGGAAAAAGGTAGCAGGGGATTTAGCTCAGTGAAAAAAGTGCCTGCCTGGCAATCACGAGTTCCTGAGTTCTATCTTTGGTACCAAAAAAAATTAAAAAGAGAGAGTGCATGGGGTAGGTACAGGCTTGATATCAACGGAGGTCCTCACCAAGGCCCTGCCCCAGAAGGGAGCGGGGCCCCCCGAGTGGCAGGTCTGGCTTCCCCAGGCCTGGGGTGAGCGAGGCATGGGCCCTGGGAGAAAGAAGTCTGCAGGTTGAGGCCCTGCCCAAGGGTTCTGGGGCCTTAGCTGGGTCTGCCCAGCTTGTGGGCCTCCGTTTCTCCACGGTGAAAGGAGTTCATAGTGTTACAGACGCCCCGCGACCTGAGGGGGGGCTGCGTCCCGACAAACACTCCTTGAGCTGAAGTACCGTAGGCGGAGGAGGGTTGGGTCCACCTGACTCGCCGGACACCGTAGCTGGGCTGTGTGCCCGCTGGCCTTTCCATTTGAGTTTCGTAGTGTTGAGGCTGGAAGATGCCCTGGACACATCCGCTGCCCCTGAGCCTCGCCCCCACCTGATACTGCATGTCCACTGTGCGCGTGTGGTGCCGGGACTGAACCCAGGGACTTCACCCCGAGCTGCACCCTCTGCCCTGTTTATGTTGAGACCAGGCCTCGCTAAGTCGCCCAAGGCTGGGCTCCGACTCAGGCTTCTCCTGCTTCAGCCTCCAGAGTGCTGGGATTCCAGATGTGCACCACCCCCCACCCCCACCCCCGTTTAGTGAAGTCTTTAATACAAACTGATGTTTTTTAGAAGGAATTCATTGCCTCTTTCCTTGTAGAGATATTTGCTTAAGATATAGTCTGTATTCCGAGCGGACTGGATTGTAGTTAGACTGTCTTGTTTGGGTTTGAGGCTCTCAAACAGAAGCAGTGAAAATGAGGCCCGACCCCCAAACCTCTTAGGTGTTTTCTAGCCCCGGCCTTCAAAGACGGGCCGTGTGATTTGTGGGATGGAGGAGGAGGGGAAGGCATCAGAGATCCTGGGCTGGGGCTTCTGCACCCCAGCTCAGGCGGCAGCCTGGGCCGGGGCAGCCCCAGAGCGGCTTCTCTCCCGCAGGTGGGATGGCTGGCTGTGGGGGGCTGTCGGAGGTGGCAAGTGCTGGTTTCACAGCCTGGCCCACGGCCTAGCTATCTCAGGCTGGTGCTCCAGGTGGCGGAGGAGAGATCAGCAAGCTTTCTGGGGCCACAGCGGGCGTTGGAGAAAGTGGCCAGCAGGGCTTGGGCCCCTAGGCCAGCTGTGCTGCACCCGCTATGAGGGCCATGGCGGGCACCAGGGGGCGCTGTGGAGCCAGGCGCCCTGCAGAGCTGTCCTGCCGGAGGCTGAACCAGGCAGCTCTGCAGAGGACTGGGTGTGGGCAGCAGGGGCCAGGGAGCTCCCTGGAGGGTCTCGGCCTAGAGTCCGTGGTCTTGCCGGGGCCACACTCCACAGCAGAGGCTAAAGGTTCAGTCACTTGTGAGAATATCCAGAGTTGACTGTTTGATTTATTTTTGCTGTCCTGGGGACCGACCCCAGGCCTCTGCATCAAGCTACATCTCCAACCTTTTCAAAATCTTTTGTTGATAATCCCAGCACTTGGGAGGCTGAGGCGGGAGGATCATTGCACGTTGGAGACCAACCTGGACTAAAATGAGCACAAGGCCAGCCTGAACTGCATAGCAAGACCCTGTCTCTAAAAAAAAGAAAAAAAATTTTTGTTGAGTCTCACAGCCACTAAGTTGCCCAGGCTGGCCCTGAGATCCTCCTGTCTCAGCCTCCCAGAGTGCTGGGATTGCCACTAGGATTGCCGCAGCCAGCCTCCCCAGGTGCCCAGCACCCTGGAGGCCCTCGGGGAGTGTCCCCCTGGGTGGCACCGCCCATTCTATTCCAGGAGGACTACAACCACATCCACGGCGGCAAGTGGACTGTGAGCAACCTGCGCCTCTACCTGGAGAGCACCCGCGGCAGGGAGGTGACCAGCAAGCTGTTCGACGAGATCCACTGGATCATCGTGCAGTCCCTGAAGGCCGTGGCGGTGAGTGGCTGCCGCGCTGACCGGAAGTGGCTGGATACCTACTTCCTGTCGTACCTTGTGGGAGTCTTCTGGGGGCTGAGGGAGTTTAAGAAGGAGCAGCCACAGGCCCTGGGTCTTCGGAGGTGCAGGGTCCCCCAGCACCATTATCCCAGCCCTTGGGAGGCTGAGGCAGGAAAATTGATGCAAATTTGAGACCAGCCTAGGCTACAAAAATAGCCCAAGGCCAGGACAACCAAAAATAATAAAAAAGTGGAGAGCAGGCTGTGTGGAGATGAGGTGTTAGAGGCCTCCTCACTTCTAGACATCTTAACTTTGCTGTTTCTTGGATATTTAGGGGTGAAAATACCCTTCCCCTGCTTCTCCAAGCTCAGACCTTACATCTGCTCGCTGGCCTGCGCTCTGCAGATGCCACAGGGAAAGTGGCCATGTGCCGGGCTGCTCCCAGGGTACACAGCGGGGGTCCCCAGGGCTCTCATCACCCCGTGACTTGTGAGGAAATAAACCCATGAAGGCGGGAACCCCAGAGCCATTGGAGGAAGGGGTTTCTGTCCCAGGCTGGGGGTGTCTTGTCTTCCCCCTGGATCTGTGGTCTCCCCAGGAGCCGAGTCCCTAACTTGTTCTCTTCCATGACAGTCACACTGCTGGGGACGCCTGTGCTGATGACCAGGGCTCTACTGAGCCTAATGGGGGACCCCAGCCCCCCCTCACTCGCCCCTTGCTGGTGGAGGAGCAGTTCAGGCTCTGAGCCCCGGGCTGAAGGGGAGGCGGGGGCACAGGAGACCGTGGTTGTGGGCACCCAAGTCGCTGACACTCGGGTCCCTCTCCCACAGCCGGTGATGAACAATGATAAGCACTGTTTCGAGTGCTATGGCTATGACATCATCATCGACGACAAGCTGAAGCCCTGGCTCATCGAGGTGACTTTGTGGGCCCCGCTGCATGGGGACGAGCAGGAGCTCGGAGGCGGTGTCCAGCTCTGTCGCTCTGCTGGCCGCTGAGCTGACCGCCAGCCCCGGCCCCAGGGAAGGCCATGTGTCCCTCTTCCCAGAGCTAGGCAGCTGGGACAGTGTGGTTTCAGAGTTTCCCAGCCAGTCCCTGATTCAGTCCTGCCCCGTCCTCCGGGGACATCATCCCCTGAGGGAGAGGAGCTCATGGACCCTGAGGCCTTGCCTGGCCACAGTGCACTGTCCAGGGACAGGGTGGCCTGTTCTTACTCCTCGGCCTCCAGGGTCATTTGGTTGTTCTGTTTTTATTTTTTTGTTTTTATTTGTACTGGGAATTGAATCCAGGGCACTGAACTACGTCCCCAGCCCCATCTATTTTTTCTTTCGAGATAGTCTTGAGAAATTGCCCAGGCTAAGTTCCAATTTGTGACCCTCCTGCCTCAGCCTCCCAGGGTGCTGGGTTACAGGCGTGCGTCACTACGCCCAGCTTTTCTTTTTTCTTGTTGAAACCATCATACTAAATTGCTGAGCTGCTAGAGGTTGGCTCAAACTTGCAGTCCTCCTGCCTCAACCTCCCAGAGCGCTGGAGTAGCAGGCATCCGCCACCACACCTGTCTATTTCTTCTTAACGCAGCAGCAAGTCTGTCTTTCAAGTTAGCTGTATGAGTGTCATTGCATTCACCGCGGGGAGCTGGTAGAGGCACTGACGCACCCTTGTTCACCTTACTTCCCTGTCCCGGCCTGCGGGCTGCGGTTCATCTTGACCTATTTAGGATGAGAATCACAGCGAGGCGCCCAGGGCAGCAGGGTGCTGAGATTGTTGGGCATCAGCTCCGCCCCCAGCAGCTCTGCCGCTGGAGCACCTCTCCTCCACCCGGGCCTGGGGCGTCAGGTGCCAGCCTGCCGTGGGAGCCCCAGGCCGCAGACCTATCCCGCACACATCACCTCTGAGCTGTGGGCACTGTGGCAGAGGCTTCCGGGGCCAGCTTCCCGCGTGCTGGACCAGCCCTCGCTGGACCTAAGTGCAGTTTTGCACTTAGCTAACAAGGACGCCATCTAGCATCCTTAAACCAGCCGGGCTGCAGAGCCAGGGCCCTCGGTCATCACGGCCTGGGACTCTGCGCCCAGCTCCTGGTTCTTAGCACAGAGCTGGTCACACAGCGTGGCGGTGCTCACCCATTAATCCCAGCCCGCAGGAGGCTGAAGCTGGAGGATCGCTGCGAGTTCGAAGCCAGCCGGGGCCACACTAATAGTGAGCTCAAGGCCAGCCTGAACTCCAGAGAGAGACCCTGTCTCAAAAGAAAAAAAAACTTCACGTGAAAGATGATAGCTTCATGGACGCGTGCGGCAGCCCGTGTTTCCCTCCCGCAGGTGAATGCGTCCCCGTCGCTCACCTCCAGCACGGCCAACGACCGCATCCTCAAGTACAACCTAATCAACGACACGCTCAACATCGCGGTCCCCAACGGCGAGATCCCGGACTGCAAGTGGAACAAGTCGCCCCCGAGGGAGGTGCTCGGCCATTACGAAATCCTGTAAGCTCGGGCGCCTGGCCGCCCTCTGGATCCCTGGCCTGCGGTGGCACTGCGTGGGCAGAGGCCTGAGCCACGGGTAGTCATGGCGCTCGCCAGCGCCCTCGCCCGGCGGCCGTGGGAACAGCAGAGGGGGCGGGGAGGCGCGTGGAGGACCCGCATCGGCTCCCCCTGCAGCAGCCGCAAGCCTCGGCTGCCCACCTGGCACCTTGTCAAGTGGGCACCGTGGTGCGGAGCCTAAAGGGGGAAATGGTTCCCAGCCGCCAAGGCCTCTGCTTCCTGAGCTTCGTTTCCAGAGGACGGCTCAGGGCCGGAGTGCACCAGCGGGGGGCTGGCCTGGGCAGCTAGGAGCTTGTGGGGTGTGGGGGGCCTCTGCTGCAAAACCAGAAAATCACCCCCATACTGCAGAGAGGAAGGGAAAAGGGAAGAAAAGAAGCCAGGTGGTGCCTGCCTGTAGTCTCAGCCCTGGAGAAGCTGAGGCAGGAGGATCGCTGTGAGTTCAAGGCCAGCCTGAACTACACAGGGGGAGGCTGTCTCAAAAACAAAACAAAACTAAATAAAGCACGGTGGTTAGAAGCCGCAGTGGTGTTGGCTGGACAGGAAGACAGGCCCCAGCCCTGCCTGTGTCCGTCGAGCCGTCCTCCCCTGCTCCTGCAGGTCACTGCGGACTCCTCACCCCACAGTGAGGGACCCTGGCCCCAGCAGTAGAGGTGCCTCTGACCAGAGGGGAGGAGCTGGAACCTGCATAGGGGACGCAGGACCACACGGGGCCTCTTGGGGCTCCCTGTGCCCGGCAGCCACGCTGCCCTTCCACAGCCTCAAAGCTAACCGGACCTGGGCAGCCGGCAGGCAGCTGGCCTGGTGGGCAGCCTGGCCCTCAGGGCCTGTGTGACTCGGTCAGAGCTGTCAGGGCCCTCCCTCTTCTGGCCGGCTCTCTGGGGTGGACTCTGGGGACATTTTTCCTTTTCCTTTTGGTGTTTTGGCGACCCTCCTGCCTCAGCCTCCGCAGTACTGGGATTATAGGAATGTGTCGCCACACCTGGTGGGAAGAGCATTGTTAGTGGTGTGAAACCGAAACCCCAAGTTTAGAACGGGCAGGTACCAGGTGCGACGTGCTGGCTTTGTGGGAGGCGACGACCTGTGGCAGCCGTGCCAGTGTGGTCCGGGGTACACTGCTGAGCTCCCACTCGGCCCCGTTCCCCTGGTCCCCCTGGAATGTGTGGCACCAGCTTCCTGTTCCTGTGAGCCCTGGGGAGCAGGCAGTGCCCCAAGGCTGCTGCATCCCAGCTGCACATTGGAGGTGTGCACCTCATTCCCAGAGCTGCACCTCATACCCTGGTGCAGGTGACGCCCCGCCAAGCTCGGGGACCTCAGGACAGGCACAGTGCAGCAGAAGGGCAGGGAAGGGTGCGACCTGCAGTGCCGTGACTGCCAGTCTGGGCCACCAGGCAGGGAGAGGGGTGCAGAGCTGTGTGCCTGGCCCTGGCCCCTCCCGGCAGGTCGCTGCTGGCCAGCTTGGGTGCTATGTGTGAAACTTCAGGAGACAGAGTCCCCACGCCCACCCACCCGAGGCTGCAGGGACTCTCACAGTTCCTCTGCATCCCTGCGGTGGCCTGTGACCCTGTCACCTGGGGAGGGGTCCACAGTAGCATCTTTGAGGGATCACTGAGTCTTGGCGGCCTCGGGGGTCCCGTGGGCTGTGGAAGCTGCCTGAGCTGGGCTGTAGCTGGGATGGGCAGAGACAGGACCCCAGGCCGGCCCAGGCCGCTTCCTGCTGACATCTTTGCCACCAGCTCTCAGCATGAGGCACCTGCTGGTGACCCTGGAGATCTTTGTTTGCAGGTACGACGAGGAGCTGGCCCAGGGGGACGGCGCCGAGCGGGAGCTCAGGAGTCGCCCCGGCCAGACACCAGGGCCCAAAGGGGGCCGCTCACGAGACACGGGGAGGACTGTCCTCACCACCTGGAAGTGACCACCCTGAAGTCTCTGACTGGAGCAACGCCGGAGCCAGCCCCGCTCCCTGTCGAATGCCTGCTGAGGCCATTTGGGAGATTCCTTTTGTCTAGTGCTTCTGCATTCCTGGGCTGTGTAAATAATAAAGACACTCATGTTTGGAAGGCTGAAGAGTCTTACTTTATCAGGGCCAAAAAGACAGACTGAAATGTATAAACTCAGTGTGATGGCACATGCCGGTAATCCCAGTGTTAGGGAGGCTGAGGCAGGAGGGTTGCTGTGAGTTCAAGGCCAGCCTGGGTTACATAGTGAGACCTTTTCTAAAAAAACCCAAAAAAAACGTGCTCCTGTGGAAGCCCATCCACTGGGGAAAAAAAGGACAGAAAAATTGTATAAAGTGAGCTCTTTTGCTGGAAGGTGACAACTGAGCCAGTGAGCCTGCTTTTTTATCAGATATTTGCACTTTTAAAAGTTTGCACTAAATTAAAAATAAGATAAGAAACAAGGCCGCTAGAAGTTAACAAGAAGCCAAGATGGCCCCAGGGCCAGGAGGAAAGTCAGCCACACCCGGGGGAGGCAGGGCAGGCAGCGCAGCGGCCCCTTTATTCCTGGGCCCTGCGGCATAACACAGTCACCCCCTCATCCACCCATCCACCCACCCTTTCATTCATTCACTGACATGGGGCGTTGCTATGGCGCCCAGGCCTGGCTCCATCTCCAGGAATCCAGCAGCAGTGCAGAGGGACAGGGGACAGTGTAGGTCACAGCAGCACAGGGTCTGGCCTTGCACTCACTAGGTAGCCCAGGCTGGCGTCAAATGCGTAGCGATCCTCCTGTCTCAGCCTTGAGTGCTGAGGCGCTTTCCCGCCCTGCTCCTCCGTGAGGTCCTTTGTCCCCTCTGGAGGGCAGGAAGAGGGTGGCGCCCACGCGGGGCTGCACTGTCAGCTTGCTGAAGTGGATGCTAGGCGCTCTGTCCCTGCTGAGAGGTCCTGGGTGACATCACGCTGCAGGCAGGTGTTTCCTCCGGACACTTCTGGGACACATGGAGAAGTGCAGGGCTGGTCACCTCGGGAATGTGGGCTGGGGACAGCGCTGCTCATCGCCCAGCTCAGGACCCCACGGCCCCCCTCTTTGTCAGCTTGTGACCCTTACCGCTGGATGCTTCTCGGGACAAACTTCATCACCGCCTGCTTCTTCTGTGCCACAGCCCCCGTGCCCTGACGGTCTCCTACATCCTCCTCTGCCGGGCCACTGCTGGCCTTGGCCTGAGCCCCCCATCGCAGGGAGCTACCCTCTCTTGGGGGGCTCTTTCCTTCCCATAACTGTCACTGAGCTATGTCCCCTGCCCTTACTCATTTTAAGGAGACGAGACACCTTAAATTGCCCGGCCTGGCTCAAACTAGAGATCCTCCTGCCTCAGCCTCTCAGAGCGCTGGGATTATAGACATGCCCCATTGTGCCTGGCTGCAGCAGGCTCTTTCTAATGTGACCATCCTGCCTCTGCATACTGTTGTCCTCCACTCACCCTGCTCTGTACCCTGTGCCCCACAGGAGACGCAGACGCCCATGTGGGCCATACCAGGCATCCGGGGACCCTCTCGGAGCAGCTTCGGCCCATTGATTTGCTTCCCGTTTCTCTCTTAGGAGCTGGCCTCACACAGGGAGGTGCTTTTATGGCTTTTCTGCTTTCTTCTGACTCAGTCATGATGCATCTCAAATGCTGTAAAGTGAAATACGGTGTCCTCTGGGAACACATTCTATTTTGGAAAATGAATTACTGCCTGACTCCAGAAGATAAAGACAAATAAAATTTTAAAAACAAAATGGGACGTGGTGTAATGGCACAATCCACTGTCTCAGCATTCTGGGAAGTGGAGCCAGGAGGATCATAAGTTTTCAACCTGGCCTGGACAACTTGGTAAAATTCTGTATCTTGAAATAAAAAAATAAAAAATGGGCTGGAAGTGTAGCTCAGTGCAGAGACCTCGGGTTCAATCCTTGTATTAAAAAAAAATTGCACTGAGAGTGGTGTGCATGCCTGTAATCCCAACATTCAGGAGGCTGAGGCAGGAGGGTCGCTGAGAGTTCAAGGTTGGCCTGGACTACACTATGTAGTGAGACCCAGTCCAAACAAAACAAAAACAAAAATCACAACAGAACCCTAGGTTCCATCCCCACTGAGGTGGGAGCCTGGCCTTCTTCCCTGCCTTCCCAAAGGGGCGTTCAGAGGAGAGCTGAGGGCTCCAGGGACAGTCACTGAGCAGGTGGCCACTCGGTGACAGCCAATGTGATGCACCTGTCACCCCCACAGCCTAGGCTCAGCCCCACCTGCTGGCCTTGTTGTGGGAAGATTCCCAAGCCAGCCTGATACAGGGGAAAGAAACTCCCAAGCCCCTAGATAAATGTCTGGTCCAAGTCCCTGTTCTCCAAAATCAAAGAATGAATTTTAGTAACAACGGAGGAGGTTGAGGAGCAGGAAATATGTATTGAGGCAAAGAAAGCTTCTGTCCGAGAGAGAGACAGAAGGTGTCCCGAGTGGGTTGCGGAGGTCCCTGCTTTTTCTAGGGACTTTTGTAGAGCAAAACCACAAGGTCAGGCGGGTCCAAGGTGGGAAAAATGGGAATTTGCAAGACAAACAGGCATGAGGTGGGACAGAACTATGGTCAACCAATAAGATTACGAGTGTAACCACGCAGGTAAGATTGATTAAATTGGGCTCCAATGGGGAGGCGAGTCTCTTAGCAAGCGGGCATAAATACAGAACAGGGCCTGTGGTGGGAGGGGTTAGGGTCCCGGGCTTCCTCAGCTCTCTATCACTTCAGGGTGATAGAGACCTGTTTAGAGTATCAGTCTTTAAGTTGTGGGCATATTTGTTTGATTTTTCTGTCTTGAGGTTTGGTCCACAGCAGGAGGCATCTGTCTCCTTCAAGGTCACAAGATATCTGGTCTCTGTCCTGGCTCCTAGGAGGGCCCTGTCTAACTGCCTGGAATATCTCTAAGTACCCAGCTGCCTAGAGCAGTACCAAAGCAAAAGGAAGACTTTGCCCTGAGGTGATAATAGGGCACCTTTAATCTTCCCACCTGCGGAGTGTAATTTCACAAAGCCAACAGCAGGGAGTTTACGAGAGCTCAGTTTATAGAGGATCTAGAACTGGGAGGTGCAAAGCCAGTTGGTTACACACTGAGTCCTATATTGCCGAGCAGGCTGGTGTGGGACAGATCTGTTGGGACAAAGGAATTGTTTGTCATGATCTAGAAACTCCGGGAACAAGGGGAGGGACCTCAGTGAGCACAGTTAGGGCACCACCGTGACACAGCAGCCTTCCGGGGAGGGGCCTGAATCAGCCCAGGGCGCCTTCAGGTGCAGCCGTCGCCTGCTGGGTGCTCACCAGAGCTTTGCAGCCGGGCTGCAGCCACCGTGGAGGTCAGCTGGACTTGGCGGCAGCATGGAGAGAGGCCTCTGACTGACCGTGAAATCCCTGTGTGTTTGCTGATTCATGAGTGAGCTCTTACACTGTGACTGCGCCCTTTTTCGGGCCTTCTCCACGCCTCTCCTCACCTCCTAATCCGTTCGGGACACAGGGCAGCTCGCTTCTGCCCCTGCACACTGCCCTCTGCCACCCGCCACCCCCACCTGTCTGGCCGCCTCCCCAGGGGCACACAGCCTGGCATCCCCCAGCCCTCCTGGAGCAGGGCCCCTGGGGAGGCGGCAGTACCCACTGGCCTGGCCGGCCCTGAACTCCAGCTGCAGGGTGGACCTAGTGGCTTCTTCCCAGTCCTGGGGAACACACCGTGGCCTTCACAGTGAGCGCCCCAGGCCTTGGTAAAGGATTCTCTCCTACATTTGGGACCTGCCTCCCCGCCCAGGGCTCACAGGGTGCAGCCAGATACCCGAGCTGAGGTAGCTGGGGACTCCGGGCATCACCCGCCCACCTGGTGCTGCCAGAGGAGTCACTGACTTACAGGTAACACCACCCGAAAGGCTCCCAGTGCTAGATTAAAACACAAAACAGAGACTCACCTGCTCCTGACTCAAGAGCTCAGGGGAGGGGAGAACCTTGGCACACACAGATCTGTCCTTCCTGGCGGGCCTGATGGTGCTCGCCTGTCATCCCAGCACTCAGGGAGGTTGAGGCAGGAGGATCACAAGTTCAGATCCACTCTAGTCAACATAGCAATAGCTAAGCCTCTCTGAACCTGGCCTCCTCCTCTGCCCCATAGAGATGTTGGCTGGCCTGCTGACCTCCCACAGCCACAGGAGGAAGGGAAGGGGTGGCCACAAAACAGCCACACCAGCTAGGTGCAGTGGCACAGGCCTGTAACCCCAGCACTCAGGAGGCTGAGGCAGGAGCGTACTGAGTTGAAAACCAGCCAGAAAAAACAAAGCACAAAAAATCCAGCCAGAGCTACATGGCAGGTTCAAGGCCAGCCTGGACTACATAACGAGACTGTCTCAAAACAAAAATTTTTAAAAGGCTGTAGAAATAAGCAGACAATGACATTTTCACATTATTGCTTCTGATAGATTTTTATGGCTTGTGCTGGGGTTTGACTCTCGTAACCATTCTTTATCTGGAGCAGTTTACACGGGTGTCTATACTCTTGACTGTTAGTGTTTGATTTAGAAGGCCTGAGAGACTGCAGATCCTCCAATGATACGCACTTTCCTGGCTCTTTACACATTTTTGTTTTTAGTAACTGGGGATTGAACTCATAACCTCTCGCTTACCATGCAAGTGCTTGGGCACTGAGCTAAATCCCCAGCCCTAGACCTTTTTCTGACCGAATCTATTTATCTACAGCGTGGAAATCCCACCCAGCTGCCTCCCATGGGCCAGGTTCTCATTGCTGTCCCCTTCTGGCAGCTGGGAGACACCCTGAGAGACGGTGTCAGCTGGCAAAGCCTGAGGACGCTCCTCTGCGGAACCTTCCTCCGCACCCATGGGTCCTTCTCCACGGGAGGCCACTGGGGGCTTTTTTTGCACCCGGCTTCCTGTGCTGTGGCTTTGTAGAAGACCTGCTCACTCTGCAGGGTAGGAAATGAATGCAAACACATAGAGCAGGGTTTGTTTTGGAAAAGTGGAATCCTTGAGATTCTTTAGGTTCTCCCCTCATTCTTGGGGGGTGTGTGGCGGGGGGTAACCAGGAATCAAACTCAGGCCTTTGCCTTGCCAGGCAGACACTGTGTCATTGAGCTATGTCCCTGGATTTTGTTTTCTTTCTTTGAAACAAGGTCTCACTAGGTAGTCCAGGCTAGCCTTGGCCATGAAGCAATGCTCCTGCCTTAGCCTCCCAAGTGCTGGGCTTACCGGCGTGTACCACCATGCCTGGCCCTTGCCTCATTCTGCATCCACTGTCTGTAATGGGGATAATCCTCAGGGCTAGGCAGATAAGAACCCTGCTAGTTAAGCCTGAGGTTCCCGGCGTGCGTGGAGCCAGGGAGGATGGATGAATGTATCTCTGGTTTAAGGAAATATCTTGCATTTCTTGCATTCCTTTTTTTTTTTTTTTTTAACTGGGGATCGAACTCCCGACCTTGGTCGTGCTTGCCAGGCAGGTGTTTATGCCATTGAGCTAAATCCCTGGCCCTCTTGCATTCCTTTTATAGAAAGGAAAGAAGGAAAGTCAGCATTTCTCTGGAGACATGTAGTAGAGAACTCAAACGTTTTTTGTGTTTTTTTTTGTCTTTTTCATTTTTATCGGTACCAAGGATCGAACTCACGACCGCCTGCTTGCAAGGCAGGTGCTTATGCCGCTGAGCTAAATCCCCAGCCCCGAGAACTCAAACGTTTGTACCCTTGAAATTTTTCTCTAGATTTTTCAGAAATTATTTCTTCCTCTTTTTTTTTTTTTTTTTTAATTTTCTTGACAGGTTCTCACTGTGTAGTGCACGTTGGCCTTGAGTGCACTGTGTAACCCCGGCTGGCCTGGAACTCGTGGTGATCCTCCTGCCTCATCTCCAGAGTCCTGGGATAATAGACACGAGCTGCCACTGCTGGCAGGGTCTTGCTTTTTAATCCACCCTGCAAGTCTGTGTCTTTTAGTTGGAGAGTTAAAACCATTTACATTTAGAATTGTCCTGTAAAAGGCTGTACTAATCTCTGTTATTCTGTTGGTTTTCTGTCTCATTCTTCCCTGCTTCTCCTTTGTTTATCCAGCCTTTCTTTTCTGTACATGAGATTCCTCTAAGTATCTCCTGCAATGCTGTTTTGATGGTCATGGATTGTTTTGGTTGAAGCCTGTCTTCCAATGCCTTTAGTTCGCCTTTGATTCTGAAGGTTAGTTTTGCTGGATACTACGAGCTAAGCATGGAGCTATTTTCTTTCAGGGCTTAAATACATTGTTTCAAGCCCTCCCACACTTACAGATTGTGCAGATAAACCTGCACTTATCCTATGGGTTTGCCCCTGTGGGTGACTTCTTTCTTCCTTGGAATTTTCAATGTTCTGTCCTTTTTTCCCTGAACTCTTGGCATTGAGCTGCCATAGGATGCCGAAGTTTCTTTTCTGGCCATGTCTGTTTGGACTCCTAAATCGTTCCTGTACCTGAATGTCCATGGCTTTCCTAAGACTTGGGAAGTTTTCTGCTACTGTTTTACTGAACAGATTTTCTACACCTTAGTCTGTACCTTGGTATCCTACTCTACACAAAAAATGTATGACCTTAATCTTATAACTGTGTCCCAGAAAAAAAATTTTTCTTTCTTTTCTTTTTTCTTTTTCATTTTGGGGGGCAGAGGAGAGCTTTTCAGACAAGGTTTCACTGTGCAGTTCAGGCAGGCTTTGAACTCACAGCAATCCTCCTGTCTCAGCCTCCCAAGCACTGGGATTACACCTGTGCACCACCACACCTGGCTTCTTTTCTCTATTAATGTCTGAATATTTAAAGTTTTAAGAAACTGCTAAATTTCCAAAGTGGCTGCACTATTCCACATTCCCAGCAGTGTGGAGGGTTCCAAATTCTCTACCTCCTCCTGACGTTTGTCCCTGTCTTTCCCTACCTGGCCACGCCAGTGGGGGCGGTGTGCTGTGGTGTCACCTCCTGGTTTAGATCTGTACTTCCCCGCTGGCTGATGAGGTGAACATCTGCCCGGGGGTCAGTCAGGTGCCCTCTTAGTAGAAACTTTGTCTTTTATTTAGTTATTTTTAATTTCATGAATTAACTTTTAAAAATGTATTTATTTTAGCCAGACACACCTGTAATCCCAGCACTTGGGAGGTTGAGGCAGGAAGACTGCCATGAGTTTGAAGCCAACCTGAACAAAATAGCAAGAGCCTGTCACCAAAATATATGCATACATATATATATTTTTTTGTCTTTTTCCTTTTTATCGGTACCAGGGATCGAACTCACGACTGCCTGCTTACAAGGCAGGCTCTTATGCCACTGAGCTAAATCCCCAGCCCACATACATATATTCTTTCAGTTTATCAGGACATAGTGGTCCCAGTCCTCATCTGGGGTCGGGCAGGCACACACAGCATAATTTCTTTCCCACCAAACCCTGTCCCTGGTCCTTTTCCCATGTAAGGAAGATCTATCTCCCTATTTCCTGTCTTTTACTCTGCTGTTTATAATTTGTGGTTTGTTTGTTGCTGTTGTTTTGTTCATTTGGGGTTTTTCGGTTTTTTTTCCTTAATTTTTCCTCCAATCAGATTTTTGCGTACATTTTAGGTATACACAACGATCACATTCATTATAGAGAATTTGTACCCTGACACGACATAACTTGATATTTCCCCACTCCCCTACCCTCCTCCAGGCCTTCCTCCCTGCCCATTTACAAAAGTTTCCTTTCCATTTTTTCCTTCTTTCCTCAGTTTTTAAAAACTTTTCTTCCCTATCTACACATGTATCCAATTCACTTAAGGGAGGCCTCAAGGCATCCATCCACCTAGAAATGTCTCCGGCTTATCCTTCTTTATGGCAGAGTAGTACTCCCATTGTATAAAAATCCCCACATCTTCTCTATCCATTCTTTGGTTGATAGGTGTTTGGTTGTTTCCAAGACTGAGCTGCTACAAAGGTGCGGCTGTAAACATGGCTGTGTATCAGTGTGCTGTGATGCTTTTCATTCTCTTGGGAAGATGCTCAAAAGGGGAACTGCTGGGTCAAATGGACCCTCAGTCCTAGTTTGTGAGGACTCTCCACTCTGGTCTCCACAGTGGCTGCACCAGCCTGCACTCCCAGCACAGTGGAGGAGGGTTCCTCTTCTCCACAGCCCCGCCAGTGTTTGTCTGACCTCTTGATCCTGGCCATTCTTTCCGGGGTGAGGTGGAACCTCAGTGCTGTTTTAATCCACATTTCGCGAGTGACCAGTGATGGTGAGCATTTTCTCTCATACTTATTTGCAATTTGTACTTCATAATCTGAGGAGCATGCGTTCATCTCAGATACCCATCTTTGAACTGGGTTTATAAGTTTGGGGGCTCTAATTTATTTTTTGAGTTCTTTATATATTCAGAATCCTTTATCTGAGGAATGGCTGGCAAATACTTTTTTGCACACTGTGACAAGTCCCTTCACTCTGTTGGTGGCCTCTTTCTGTGCAAAAACTGTTTATTTATTTATTATTTATATTTTAGTGCTTTGAGACAGGGTCTCACTGAAAAAATAAAATTATAGCCCCAAAGTGCACACACTTTCCTGCACATCTCTCAAGTTCGTCTTTCTCCCCATGTGTATACACACATTTTCTGTACCCGTCCTTCTGTTCCTGAATTTACAGGCCACTCCCAAGACTTAGCCCTGCTGAGTCGCCCTGCTGCAAGCATGCTGTGCTCCTTCCGCCGGAATATGACACCCACTGTTTGGGGGCCACACGGAGGAAGGAAAGAGAAGCTGTTTCTGTTGTTGTTTGTTTTTTGAGTCAGGTCTCACTGTCCAGATTGGCCTTGAGCTCATTGTGTGGCCCATGCTGGCCTCAAACTCCTGGCAATCTGCCTGCCTTAGCTTCCCCCACGCTGGGATCACAAGCCTGCTTCCCCATGCCTTGTGGGAAAAACATTGTCTTGGTTACTTTTCTCTCCTTACTGAGGACAAAACACCCAAAATGTGGGAAGGAAAGGTTTATTTAGTTCACTGTTTGTGGAGGTTTCAGTCCATACTCAGCTGGCTCCAAGGCAGGGCGGCCTGGCACTGGGGCAGCACTTCAAGGAGCAGCCAGAGCAAAAGCGGGCAGAGTGAGCCTCTTTTCCTCTTTTTTATATTGTACACAGGCCACCACCACC